TTGTTCAACTTGAAAAGATCGATAAACTCAAACCTTCTAACAAATATAATAATATGATAAAGTGAACAACAATAAAGACATACGATCGAACTGAAATTTAATTCGTTTCGACGTCAAATTGTTGTTCATTATCGCGGTCCATCACAGTGTCAAAAAACGAGTAAGTTTTTATCGAATAGTATACTTATTTGTGATGTGATGGACACTTTTACGAAATGTAGAGAATCGGTTGATAAAAAAATAAATTGACAATGTTTATGGTATTTGAGGTGGAAACTCCTAGTTGAGAAAGATTAAAAAATATTTTTGATCAATTCAAGACGGAAAAGTTTTTATGTTAAGTCCATACCATAATATTGAAACTTGAATTGTATTGTTAAATCTTTTTTTGGTGACCAATCAAAATTTTCAAATTCTCATTTTAAAAAAAAATCTGAAATCGTAACATTAATTCTAATAATTTATAAGGAATGCTAAGGGCTTGTACTAAAACGAGTAATAAATATTAAAGAAATAGTCTTTTATATCCAATTAAATATACTAATAAAGAATTTGCAGATAGTAAGTTAAAGTGCCGATCAACATTTCTTTATAAATGGCGCCTCAATAGATAAAATCCTCAACCGCGAAAGTGACCTATCACGTATCTGCCAGCATAGACGCTCCGGACAATAATCCAATTTTGCCCTTTTTCGATTAAGAAGTCAATGAGTAATTCAAATAGGTTTTCACGTGACTAATTCGATAAGATCATACCACTAGGGCAGTGATGTGCATCTTATGCTTCCAATAGTATAAAATTTGATTGGAAGCTTCCAACCCAAATGAATTTATTAGAGAATTATGCTTCCAACCCTTCCAAAAGTGCTTCCAAGGGTGCTTCCAATCTTCCAAGTGCACATCACTGCACTAGGGAATGGAATCAATTTTTAATCGCGATTATCGTTACTCAAGATTCGACTCGTAAGATTCGATTTTCGATTAATCGAATATAATCGTGCTTGAGAACAACACCCTAAATTAAATCCGAAAAATAAAATAAAATAATTAAAATTAAAAATATAGGGATATACTGTACCGGTATATATGCAAAATAAAAAATATTTAAAGTAGAATTAAAAAATAAAAAAAAATCAATTAAAATCATTAATTTTAAAATAGAAATTAAATTTTTGAGACAACTATACCTAATTTCCTAATTTAGACTTAATATTTTAATTTAGGCGTTAACCGGTTGATTAACATGAAATTAACTATATATAATTTTTTATTCCAAATTATTACCATTCATGGATTTAAACCCCCCCCCCATCCTTAATTATTAATCTCATATTTTTGTACGAGCAAGTTTTTACCATTAAACAAAAATGTCTGAAGAAAAAGTTACTACAGATATTATTACTTTATCTCGTCATGTTCTTGATGAACAACGTAAACATAAAGAAGCTAGTGGAGACTTAACCTTATTATTGAATGCTGTTCAACTTGGATGCAAATTTGTAGCAACTAACGTTAGAAAAGCTCGTTTATTGAACTTGTAAGAAAACATTTTCTATAAATTTAATTCATTTGAAAGAATTAATATGATGCATTCACTAAAAAAAAAAAAAAAAAAAATTACTATTTTCAGGGTTGGAATTGCTGGTGGAGCGGTTAACGTTACAGGAGATGAGCAAAAGAAACTCGATGTTATTTCCAATGAAATTTTTATCAATGCGCTTCGTTCATCAGGAAAAGTAGCAGTAATGGTTTCTGAAGAAGACGAAAAAGCTATTATTGTTGAAGACGAAATGAAAGGAAAATATTGTGTTGTTTTTGATCCATTAGATGGTTCTTCCAACATTGATGCTGGTGTTAATGTCGGTACTATCTTTGGTATCTATAAAATTGTAAGTATAAAATTTTTTGAGGTGAATATAAAAATTACATGTTTGTATATTCATATCTTTTGCCTTTTATTTTTATTTTAAACCCTCTAGAAAGACGGATCTGGCGGAACTATTTCGGATGTTTTGAGACCTGGTCGTGAAATGGTTGTTGCTGGTTATTGTATGTATGGTAGTTCTGCTAATATGATCATCTCGACTGGTAATGGCGTGAACGGATATACCCTTGATAACGTAAATATATATCTTCATCTGAGAAAATTTTCATTATTGCATACTAAATGTTACTTATTTATTTAGGCTATCGGAGAATTTATTCTCACCCATCCTAATGTAAGTATTATCTTCACTTGTAATTCATTTAACTTTAGTCAAATTCTTCATTCAACTTTTTCATTTATATTAGATTAAAATTCCGAAGCGCGGAAAGATATATTCAGTTAACGAAGGAAATGCAAAATATTGGGATGAACCATGTACCGAATATTTTAATTCATTGAAATTTCCACCTGAAGGAAAGAATCCATACTCAGCTAGGTATATTGGATCAATGGTGGCAGATGTGCATCGTACATTATTGTATGGTGGTATATTTGCTTATCCTGCTGATAAAAAATCTAAAAATGGTAAATTAAGAGTGTTGTATGAATGTTTTCCAATGGCTTTCCTTACTGAACAAGCTGGTGGTAAAGCCATTACTGGTAGAGAAAGAGTATTAGATGTCACTCCTCAAAATATTCATGATAGATGTCCTATTTTTTTGGGTAGTGAAGATGATGTTGATGATATAGAAACAATTTATAAAAAACATAGTTGTTAAAGGGAAAACTAATTTAGAATAATCTTTTATTCAATTTAACTTATTTATTATTGCAAAGGCTCGGAATATTGTTCTCTTTCAACAATAATTACAAAAAGTTGTAAATTAATTTTTGGATTTCTACTATACTCAATTCGGAAATGATTTGATTTTAAAATGTTACGTTTTTTTTGAATAAATATAATAAATAGGAATTTATATACGATTGTGAATGTTAAAATACATCATTCCGATATATACAGAGGGTGGACAAAAGTATCCGCACACTTTTCACTCAATATAAAACTTAAAATATTTTTGCAATAACAATAAAAAGCAATTAATTTTTTATTTAAAGTTGATTAATATCTACATTTTGTACTAAGTAACTAGTACTTAGTTGGGCCACCATTTGCCGCAATCACCGCTTGAATTCGTTGTGACATACTATCGACTAGGTTTTCGATAGTATGCTTCGGAATTTCCTGTCATGCCTTTTTAACATATCAGTCAAGATCAGCAAGATTAGATAGAGGTTTTTTATAAGCTCGGATGCTTGGGTTTTTACCATTTTTTTTTAAATTTTCGGAGAAGAAAAATTTATTAAAAAAAAAAACAAATTTGTTATTCTTATATTTTTATAATATAAGTAAACACTTAAGTGTCATGTAAACGCAATTTGTTATTGTGATCATATGACTTTACTAGCATTAATTCACGTTTATGGAGGTGTGCGGATACTTTTGTCCACCCTCTGTAGAAATGATGAAATTTTTTTTTTTTTTGCAAATAAAAAAAAAAGTTCACCATTTTCAATATCATTATGTAGAAGTAATTCTTTTTCTCAATATAACCACATGACTACTACCGCAAATCTGTAAACTAGAACTAGAATAATTACTCTCATCTGTTAAATCATTTTCATCGTCATCATCATGAGGACAAAATATGATCATTCTTCCCATTTTTAATCTAACAACTTTTCTTAATAATTTCTTTGAATTACCTCCCGGAAAAGGAACATGTTCTGTAAGAAATTGTGACCATAAAGGTGATGAAAAGTGATGAAGTAATAACATGTTTGATTGTAGTAAAATAGGGAGGGGAATTGAGGTTGGTTCGTATGTAGTCAAGATTAAGTTCACCTTGTGATGTTGTGGATATGATTGAAGATGATGTACCGTCGTGGCCAATGACGTGTTGGGAACTAGATACTGTATTTGTTTAAAGCAGAGGGAAAAGTAGTAAATTACGATTTCGAGATATCTAAATAAAAATCACAAATTGCTCGACCATTTATATTAATTAAATTATACCTTGTGAGCCTCATCCAAAACCACAAGTTTACGAACATTATATTCGGTCCCATTATTTGATTTCAAATTACTTTGGGTATAAATTCCAAGAATAAAGTTGAAAAGTTCTGATGCCATTTTAGCACCAAGTAAAGGATCGCTCAAATCAGCAATGACTGCAACACCTGATTGAAACAATTCTTCTAATGTGATAAGATTATCAAAAAAGTTTTTATTTTGTAAAGAAACTTTCAATTTGTCAACAATGAAAGAATCTAATTTGCCAAATCGTGTGCTGAAAAAAGACTTCATCCTTTGATTGTTGTCACACTCCTCATATAATCGGGTACAAAATTCAGTGTAATTAAATTTGTCGTTCATATGAAAGTACAAAATATCTTCAACCAATTCTTTGGCTTGTTCATGAATTTGAGAATCTCCCACGATATCTACCCATGATTTTATAATATTCCTACATAGATCTTTTTCAGAAAATAATAAAGGAATAACTTCACAATTATCAAAATTCGCATACAACTTTACCATATTTTGATAATTGGAAGGTGTCACCAAAACAACTACTTTATTCGCTCGAGTGCCTTGATCAAAAACTCCGGAATGCTTAGCTGACGTAGCCACTAAAGCACTTTCGCAAGGTAAAGCCATTGTGCTATTGTCAAATCGAAATATTAAAGCAGAATAAGGAGATTCTAATTTTCCAAGACGCGTATTTTTGATCAAACAACCTTCTAGTATGGTGTTCTTGGTTTGACTCACACCAGAATTAGGAAGACCTGTGATAATCATGGAAAATGGATCATCTCCATTTAAATAAACAATTTCATTTGGTGTTGTTTCCAAAACACCCAAACTTATATAATTTTCAAAAAGAGTGCTATTTTTTTCCAACAAAGAATGACGGAACAAATGATTATGATACATCAGTTTTTCGTTTGCAGAATCATCACGAATAATTAATTCTTGAATATCTCTCAACAGATTATCATGTTCATTTGTTATGATTGGTTTTGAATGTCTTGGTTGTGATGGTTTTGAAATTTGCTCATTTAATATTAGAGGCGTTTCGGACCTGGATATCTTCTCGTTTTGAGCATGAATTGGTGATAAAACATCAGATTGAGGGGTTGTTGACCCGGACTGAGAAGTGTTCAATTGAAACTTTGTTTTGATAAAAGACGTATGTTCCGATTGTGCGGAGCTTGATCTATCGGATTCTGATGAGAGTATATATGGTTTTAAAGACTTATCAGAGTCTGCTGGCTTTGTATCTATTATTGTTTTTCCTCGATCCTCAATTATCCGAGCAGATTTTGTTTGCGTTATTTCAGAAATTAACGTCGAATCCGAAAGGTCGATTTTATCCTCATATTTATCAGATGAGCTTATCGACTGTTTTCTGTTTTGATTAATTGTGACAAATGGCTGGGCTTCATTACCAGACCTCTGAAATGCAAATTCTTTACTATTGTTTATGAGTTCAACCAATTTGAATTCCGGAAATGTGTTATTCCAATTTAATTGTGCAACTAAATTATATAAAGGAACTTTTCCACCTTCAAACAAGATATATTTGCGTATAAAATCTTTTGGCGAAATTTCGTTTAATGCAGAGTTATATTTAACCAAAATTTCACTTTGACCTTGTAAAAGTATAAACTCCGAATAATTTTCCAAAAATTCGACCAAATTACCATGGGGATGCATATTTTTCGTGTTAAGATGATCGTTAATCATTGAAATCGGTACATCACCTTTTGATTTCAAAAATAGACGAATAAGTCGAGCGATATCAATATCGTGAGATCGAATATATACGTCAGTCTCCATAGATAATTTGAATTCAGGAAAAGGTTGTAAAAATTCTTTCAATCTGTTGTTTCGCGGATACATATCCTGGCGTTTCAGAAAATCGCCTATAAGAGAAAGTCTGACTTTACCATGTTCCAGTAAGAATTTACGTATATAAGAAACAATATTAGCATCAGTCGGTTTGAGACGAATATAGAGTTCTCCGTGAAGTCTCTTAAATTTGAACTCAGAAGTGTATGAATTTACAAATTCGCCTAAATTTATATTCGGTAATGCGGAACGTTCTCTCAAATACTCCCTAATATCCGAAAGAGAAGCGATTATTTGTTTCACTAAAAATTCACGAATTAATTGAATAGTAGGAGTCTTTGGAGAATTGTGTTTATTACGATAAGTGTTAGGTGATTTTTGTGACTGGGGTATCAATTTTATATAATACATATCATCTTTGGAGATACATTCAAATGAATCTTGACAGCTTTTGATAAATTCTACAAGTTCATCGGTGATGGATTCTTGCGTTCCTCTTAAGTATATATTCAACTCTGTACTAGTTACACCTTCATTTCCACTATGTCTAGTAAGATATTCATTTATCAATCGTTCAGTATGAGCAATTCGTCGTTTTAACATGGTTTCCGTAGGTTTCGTCGATTGATTTGAAAGTGAAATGCATGTAATACCTCGTTCAGAAAATATCTGAAAGGTACCTTCATTTTCACGTAAAAAATCTTGAAATTCGGAATTATTTATCACACCCAATAATTTCATATGTTTCTCTAATTCATAAATTGAATCAACTGAACATAAATTAAGATATTTCCTTGCACAATCTAAAGCTTTACTCTTTGCATTTTGTGAAGCAGTTTGTTGTCCAATTAACTCATCCTCAATTGTGACCGGTTGAAAAGGTGATGTAGAAGTAGGTAATGACGCATGTTTAAGATTAGGAGTATTTTCTGAAGAATCATCCTTTACTGACGAATCATCCTTTACTGAAGAATCCTCTAAAAATTCCTCTCTTGCTGAAAAATCTTCATTTACAAAAGCTGACGCACCTTCCTGTATGATAGAATTGTTGACATCGTTGATAAGAAATTCACCTCGCTGAAGTTCTATCATATCTTTAATATAAGAACCACTCCCAGCTGAAGTCGCTTTAGTTGAACGCGCTACCACTTTTTTTAGCCTAACCCCTCCGGTGCTAACTTCGAATTCGTCTGCGTATTCTTTCAATAACTTTATAAGTTCTTTACCAAGTATTGTAATGTTTTGAGTCTCTAGCCAAACTGATAAGGCATCAATACCAACAGCCCAGTCAAGATCACCGTCAAAGTATACTCTAACGGCATTGAGAACTTCCGTAACGTTTTCTACAGTCACGGACATTTTATATAAAGAAATTCAAAGAAAAAATTCACTATTATTACCATATATATACATATACAGCATAGGTCAAGTTTGATTTCATTGGTTGATCGATAAGGATTCTGATTTGGCAATAAATCTTTTTTTATAGAGAAAACTTAACCTAAACCGGGGGGGGGTTCAGGTTTTTAATAGTATTCAGCTTGCAAATAAATTTCATACTTTAAACAAATATTTTTTCGAAAAATTTTTTTAAAAAAAATAGTAGAACCAAATATATTCTTTTAGTTTATTGTTAAAAGAAAGTTGAAAATTTTTATTTTTCGTTAAAAAAGAAAAAAAAAATTTTCGGTGATAATCAGATATACTATGGAAAATAAATACTTTAAAAGGTAATCAGTTTGCAGATTTATGAATTACTAAAAAAGGAGAGGGGGTCTAGTTTAACTTGCCTGAACCCCGGGGGTCTATAATTTTCATCTTAACTGGGGGTCTAGGATAAGGACACTCTTCTTTATATTCTTAAGAATTTACTAACTAGTGTAACATGTAGGAACTTTCAAAAATTTGGCCAATCATTGTATGATCCGATGCCCTTGGGTACGTACTTAGTATCTAATCTTTTGTCCCTCTCGACGCGTTCAGTCAGATATGACAGTTAGTTCCAAAAGCGTTTATTTAATTACAAAATGAGTTCCGTTACATATACAGTTTCACATTCTGACGAAGAGTTCTCGAAAACTTTAAGAGACGAAAATATTAATGTTAGTTTAGTATTTTAATATTCTTTTTGACTAAAATAATAGACGGCTTAAAATAAATGTTTATACGCGTACTTTATTACTTTATTAAATAGACTTTAAGACGTCCTGTTAAGGGTTTTATATTTCTTCAAAAGGCTCGAAGACCTGGAGCTTTGGTAAATGTCATTGGAGTGGTTGTAGCATGTACTCCAAAAAGAAAATCGAACGGGACAGGTAACGTGCAATATCGGAATAAAAGATAAAAAAATTGAGATACGTTATTTCGAAATACTAATTAAAAATTTGCTTCTTTTTTTTTAATAATAGATTACACATGTTCTCTTGTAATTATAGATCCATCTATACCCCTTAATGCTAAGGGAATCACCGTTAATGTATTCAGGTCTCTAATTGATCAATTGCCAGACTTGAGCGTTGGCAATATTTTTGTAGGAAAAAATCTAAGGGTAAAACATTTTCTAAATAAATTTTTTAATAGGTCTCAAAGTATTTTAATGAAATATAATTGGGTTTAATAGATTCAAACATTTTATGAAACCACACAACTTGTGGCAACAAAAGAAGGTTCTACGTTTAAGGTTATAGACGATATCACAGAACGAGATCATAAGTTTCCCTTTAGTATGCGGCCGCACGCCAAAGAAATTATGGAATACTCCGGCTACTTGCGACGATGGTGTACATCCTCATCGAATTCAAGGCATGGTGATTACACTTCAATAACCTCGTCTAGAAAAAGGATAAAGATTCAGGAGCTTCTTCCTGGTATATTTTTTGATTTAATTGCTGAGGTGATTTTAAATTATTTTATTGGATTATGGGTATTTGTGTCTTTCTTCTTTAATCACTAATATTATCGTGATTTTTTTAATTAGATTGTAATGGTTTGTTCTGCGGAATTCAAGGTAGATCTTTACGTTACCGATTTTACCGAGAACAAACTTCTTGGTAATCAAGAATATAGACCAAAAACACCCTATGGTCTTTGTAGTAGAAACATTTTACAAATCACTTTATGGGATGAACACGTCGAAGACGGAGAAAAACTTCCGATAGGAACATTTGTTCTTCTACGGAATCTACATTCGAAAAGAAATACCAACGACGATCTCGTGGCCTTTTTACATGGTGATAGAGAGTTCAGGAACAAAAAGATTATTATACTAGACGAGCAAGATGCTGGCGTTAAAGAGATTATTAGGTATATATTTAAATTTCATGATTTTTACAAGATGATTGAAAAATTAATACATATTTTTTTTTTTTTCTGTCAGCCGAAGAAGCGCATTTTGTGCACAAAAGACGCAGAAGGTTTTAGAACCAATTGAAAGAAGCTCTTGTCCTGAGCTAGAGCATGATTACACGGAACAATCAATAACGAGTATAATCTAAAAACAAATAACACATATATACTATCTTGTACTTTTTCAGAATTAAACTTATGTATTTATTTCAATAATTCAGGAATTATATGCGGTAAAGAAATAGAACTTACAGAAATTGATGACATAAAAGTTCACCCTGAGGTGATATAAATTATAAATTTACCGCACCTGGATACGTTTTATTCGTTTTCTGTTATATCTCCTAATGATAATCCTTATCATTTGTTAGCCTGCAAATTTTTTTCGGACACGTGGTCGTGTAATCTCTGTTATGCCTCCTAATTTTGAAGATTTTTCTCAACCATATTGTCATAGATGTAATAAAATGTAAGAAAGTATTTAATCTACTTGACGTTCATCTAAGATAAACTAATAATATATTTCTTGCACTAGAATACATATTAAAGGATGCGAAAATTGCACAAAATGTTCTAGGGGATTAAAGAGATTTAAATACAAATTTGGTCTATTATTTGAGGACGAACTTGGTGTTGGAACTCTTCCAGTTTTAATAACAAAAGGAGATGCGGTAAATGAATCGCAGTTATATATCATATCTAAGTATCATTCGGTTTTAACTCAATTTTTTTTTTTTAGAATACTTTTCTTGAAGGATTGCCGCCAGTCAAGTGTGTATCAATTTTCATATCGAAATATACATTATGGTAATATTTTCCGTTATTTATTAATCATTGCTACTCAGTCTTTATCAGAATCAAACGGTTCTTCAAAAATTAAAAGGGCGAATGCAAAAACTGTTAGGAAATGTCTTGGAGAGTCAAGCAGGATGCGGTCCTTTAATTGATTTTTGCGTAAGAACTTATGAGATAGAAGATGAAAATGGTAATTTTAAAAGGATATACAGAATGTTTAATACTGTATTACAAGAATAATAAATGTATGTCAACTGTGTAATTATATACTGTGTAAAGTAATAAAGTTGAATAGTTTCTGTGAATTCATCGTTCTCTTTCATCTTCATTTCAGTGTGTGAATTGCCTGATAAGTATCATCTTTATTATGATCTCACACTGAAAAAAAAAAAGAATGATATTCACAAAATATTCAAAGAATTAACTAATTGAATCGTTACAATTAAAGTTCACGTGATTGCATATCATTCATGATATAAAGCTACAAGGGAGGAGAAATGATTTTTATTCGCATTTGTTCTTTGAACATTGAATATCTATAACAGGCAAATAATTATATTCATTGAGTAAAAATTCGATTTAGCCAATTTCAGAATTTTCAAGTGCCTAAGCGGTTTTAGGCCAATTATTAAATTTAACGCGGCATTTTTTATTCCTGAAAAAATTTATATTTTATTAAAAAATAAAGTAAAATACGAGAGAAATAAGTTCTAATCACAAATAGTGGGATCCCATCCTATATAAATAAATAAAATTAATTAAAAAAATTTCTTATTTTGATAATTTCATGAAAATCTTTAAAACACTACCTGTAACCAAATGTTGATCTAATTTATCAAGTGATTCCATATCTTCTTTTTCAATTTCAAAATCATATACGTTAGCATTTTGAATAATACGATCTTTATTTATACTTTTTGGTAAAGTAACAAATCCGTGTTGAAGTCCCTTTTTAAATTGGGGGGAAATTTTTTAATTAATAGTAATTATGTTTACAAGTTTCTTCAAATTATCAATCGGAAATTTACCCATCGAATTAAAATTTGAGCAGATGATTTATTGTATTTTTGAGCTATCTTGATCAAATCTCTATCTTTTAATTTATTTCCTTTAGTAAGCGGAGAATAAGCTTCTACCACAATATTATTTTGAGCACAAAATGTTACGATATCATTTCTCGTCAACCAAGGATGAATCTACAAAAGATTTAGAAAATATAACCAAATTTCAAACATATGAAAGGGAGTTAATAAAAACTTACCTCAACTTGATTAACAGATGGCTTAATCTTGGGGTTTTGATTCAATAATTCTTTTAAATGAGTTACGCCATAATTTGACACCCCAATACTTTTAACTTTACCCAATTTAACCAATTGTTGCAAAGCATCATAACTTTCTTTACGTAATTTAGGACCTGGTAATGGTGAATGTAGGATCAATAAATCAATATAACCCGTGTTTAATTTTTCTAAAGATCTTTCGGCTGCTTGTAATGTTTTTTTATATCCTTGATCCGAATTCCAGACTTTTGTTGTAATCCATATTTCTTCTCGTGGAATTTCACTAACATTTCAATAAAGAATATGATCAGATTTGGGAAAAAAATAATCGATTAAAGAATTTCTGGGAATTACCTTTTATTAACGGCAATTCCTACGTCAGTTTCGTTATCGTATAATGTTGCGGTATCAATATGTCTATATCCCGCCTATTGATAAAAGTTAAGAATTATCCGAATCAATCAAATCAACTTATAATTTGTAATTTATCACCTCTAGAGCCCAAGTCACAGCATTCTGAGTGGGAAGACCTTTAGGCGCTTGATATACTCCCAATCCTATTTTTATTATCAATCGTTTAATCTACTGCGCCACGACATAAAAGACAAACATACCTACCTAATAAAGGAATTTTATGTCCATCATTAAGTGTGGTCGATGAGGAAAGCGTTAATCTGACAGCTTCAGCCATCCTTTTAATAATTTTTCGTGAAATTTTGAAAGATTTTTTCTCAAAGATAGGAAAAGAAAGAAAGAAAAAAAAAAAAAAAAAAAAAAAAAAAAAATCCCCCCCGATAATCAGTGCAGAACTCTCGTATTTATATTGCGAGAATTAAACTTTGATGACTCTCAAATTCGTAAATTTATTGTCGTACACCCTTTATGTATATGCGATAATTGTTACTTTGCATCCTTAAATTGGAACATGTGATATGCTTTTTTTTTTTTTGGTAATGATAATCAATCTATATAGTAAGGATATTCCCAACATCTCGGAATATCATCATTGATTTTTATGCACCAGATAAATAAAGATTTACAGTACGTTGGGAACTTCAATAATAAATATAATAATGTTTTGTGAAACCTGCTTTAACAACACTTTCAGTTTGTTTCCACTTTACACGCTCTGTTCAAATAACGATTTCTTCAACACTTATCATAACAGTTTCTTCTTCGAATTTGAATTGCAAATTATTCTAAACCCATGATGAGAAAAAAGTACAAAACTAAATTTCCAGTGGTGGGTAATCTTGAATTCTTTGTCAAAAAGATAAGCTTAAAGCCTTTTCTCCTTGCAACATTTTTTTTTTTTTTTTAAGATTATTTCTAATTAAATAATATGTTATATGAAGGCTCGCATTAAAAAAATAATGCAAATGGACGAGGATGTGGGAAAAGTAGCTCAAGCAACACCGGTTTTAATCTGTGAGTCATTAAAAAACATCTAATATTCTTAAAATTTCTATACGTTTTTCTTTCTTACTAGAATATTAAATGTGACCTTTTTATCTTTTAACAAATTAACGTAGCTAAAGCATTGGAATTGTTCATGCAGTCACTTATAGATCATGCATGTCAAGAAACAAAAGCTAGGAACGCGAAACGGATGTCGGTTTCGCATTTGTGAGTAAAGTTAAATTTTAATCGTGTTTTTATGTAGAATTTTATTTTTAATTACTTGCATACACATTTTTGTTGGCTCGGGACTCGGGAACTTTATATAGAAAGAAGACTATTATGACAACAGAGCAATTCGATTTTCTAAAAGACGTTGTCGCTAATATACCGGATCTGGTAGAAACTGGAGATGGGGAAGCATCATCATCTACCATTTCTGCTGGCATTATTAGTAATATGGATGTTGTACTTAGTGACGAAGCGGAACCTTCTGTACCTGTACAGATAAAAAAACGAAAGGGACGAAAAAAGTAAGTTGTATTTACAAATATAAAAGTTTCCTAACAATGCCACATTACTTAAATTTTTTTCCCCCTAATATAAAAGGAATGTGGACGACGAAGAATATAAGACATCAACAACAACAAATCCACCGAGAACGAGGCGGAGGTTAATAAATTTTTAATATTTGTATTGCAATCATCTTGAAACCAAAGTTATTAATGCGAATTCATTTAATAGTGCTAGGAAACGGAAAGAGACTAATGATACAGAGGAAGCTTTTATAAAAACAGAATGAAAAAAGAACAGAATGAAATTTATATCAAGTGACAAGGACAAGTATCATATATATGTATGTATGTATGTATACGATAAACTGAATAAGATTTCTTCCTCTATAACGCAAATTAATTTAAAATTTGTTAATTATAAGAAATAAGAAATTCTTTTCAAGGTTTAAAATAGTTGTTCTATTTTAGATAATAATAATATTTTCATCAGACTGTTTGTTACAATTGGAGCTTTCTTTTTTTTTTTTTCAATTAAATTTTTTTTTTTTGTTTCTTTTTTATATCAATTGATAACAACTTATTTATATAAATTTATATAGGTATTCAAATACTGTTGTTATATAATTAATATTAATATATAATAAATCAAACATATTATCGTTTAGCCAGTTCGATCATGTCCAATTTATCGTATTATTATTTAGAGCTTTGAATCAGGTCAACCACCCAATCCGATCACTGAAGAAAGAAAACTTCCTTATCGGTTCGATACACCGAATTTATTTTATAATAAGTTACCCATCAAAACGCGTATCTGCGATTTTAATTTCTTATCCATTTAGTAGTAATTAACTACTAGATTATTATATAATTTAAATAAAATTTCGTTCTTCTGTTTAATATGATTAATCATTTAATATGGAAAAAAAAGTGTTTCGATTATTATATTTATTCATCTATCAACTGTATATAGTGATGCAATTTTATATTTTATATTTGATAATAATGATATCGATATTATGTAAAATATTCTTTTAATAAATAATTACTAAGACCTTCTGTCAAATTTTTTTTAATTTATAAACTAAATATGCTTAATTATATAATAATTTACTTTTTTATCATATAAGTATATTTAAACTAGAAAATAGTTTCAAAAACTATTGTTAAGTTTAAAGCATAAATGTACAGTAATAAAAGGGACTAATTATATATTAACTCAAATTTTGAGTAGATAGACAACACGATATCTATATTATCTTGTATAAACATATATAATCCTTCACTTTGCTCTAAGATCAGTAATCTAAAAATTAGAATGATATGCATTTTAATAATTAAAATTGAATATAGTTATACAAAATAAAATTTAAATTAATCTTTACATTTTTTCTATAAATAATAATATAATTTTAAAATAACCAATTTTTAATTTCCATCTTTTACTAATCTATGACAAATAGTATTACTATGCAAAGTAATCTATATTCACTTATTCAATAATTAAATCAAAGATAATTAAATAAAAGTCTAATAAGAATAAGAGAATTTAGTATGATTGGCTGTTAAACATTATCTAAAATTTACTATATTGGTAAAATTTGTCATTAATCATCACTAAAATTATAAAAGTATGTAATTATTTTTAAAAAATGTTGCATTATTAAATTGTAAACCTTATGTAATACTAACTATAATAAAAATATTATTAAAAGTATTATTTAATTAAATTTAAAAATTAAAGCCAAAAGTTTATTTTATATTATCTATATTTATAGAATAATAATCTTTATATATTTAATTTTGATTATTATCATATAATTCATAACTGAAATATCTTCCTTCACTAAAAAATTATAACTTATATAATAAACCTTTTATTATAAATAATCCTATATATAATAGTGAAGTATTAATTTATAATTATGTTATTATTAGACTAGTTCATACCTGATTAATCAGCATTTTGATCACAAAATTTAATAACCAATCAGAATTTGTGATCAAAATTTATGATTGAGTTGGTTGATTTATTTGTTACATAGATTAACTAATAAAAAATATAAATTAAAAAAAATGTTTAAATATAAAAAAAATAGAAAATTTATTATCTTTTATGTTATTAAAACTTTTCAAGATGCAAAAGAAATAGAAGATTTACTTAAAAAGGAAGAAGGTTCTGATAATCAAGTGAAGAAAAAATGAATTAGTAATTCTTAGATTAACTTTTTTATTTGAAAGAGAAAACTTATATAAAAAATCAAAAGAGTGGTATAATTATTTTTATCATAATATAATAATATTAGGTTTAAAAAAATAATAATAAGAATAAAACCTTATAATTTTCAAAAACCTGTATTGATTTTATATACTTATCAAATTTTTTGTAATAAAAGTAATAATCCTTAAGCTTTTGTTAAGCTACAATTTGCAATTTTTTTTAAGAAGAATTAGTTCTAAAAAAAAATATTTTGAAATATATTTAAAATTTAGTATTGCTAAAGAAATCATTATTATATTATAAAAGAATAATTGTTGCAATTTTTTTATTAAAAAAAAATTTAGTTAAATAGTCAATAGGTGAGTAAAACAAAATGTATAAAGGATTTAAAAATATTGGTAGAATAGTCAATATAATAAAAGTAATAGATAGAAGTTATGTAATATTAGCAAATGCTCTATTAAAATAATCTGAAATATATTGAAATAGAAAAAAAAATATTCTATATAATTAAAAGGAATTATAGTCTATAAGGATATATTTATAAATTATGAGATTGAATAGTCTGATTCAGTTCATGATATTAAAGTATATAAAAATTCATATTTTTATCAAATTATTTTTAAAATTATTAAAGGAAATGAATATTTACTTGAAGATTTAGCATATATTTTATTTATTTTTTTAATTAAAGCTTTTATAAATCCTCAAATTTCTTTACATATTCAATTTAATATAATTTATTTCTCATACAAATTAGTCATTAAAAATGCTTTTAGTAGACTTAAAAATAGATTTATTTCTTTAAAAAATTTAAATGTTAGAAAGATTTTTACTATAGTTATATTAACTAAGTATATAATTATTTTACATAACTTTTTAGAATTAAGTAATGATAGTATAGAAGATTTATATGAAGAAAATGATAATGGTAATGATAATAGTGATAATAATAAAAATATTATAGATCAAAATGAAACAGAAAGAAAAAAAAAGTAAATAATGAATCAAATTATTTAATAAATTAAATAATAATTTGTTTTATAATATATAAAAAAAATTAATTAATAAATTATTTTTTGTTTATAAAAATATAAATATTTTAAATTTTATATAATCAATAAATATTAATAAATGTTTTTTTATAAATATTAATAAATATTATACAAAATATTTTATTATAAGTATTAATGCTACATAATAAATATAACAAATATTATATGATAATTATAAAAAAATAAAATTTAATTTGAATTTTTCTAGATTCTATTTTTTTCAATTTTAAATCAAATTCTATTTTCATTTTCTCCTTTTCAAATTTCCATTTTTGTTTTTTTATCTTCAATTTACTTATTTTAACAATATGAATTTTTCTATTTTTCTCTTTCTAATTCAATTTTTTTTTCCTATACCAATTTTTAGTTTTACTCATAGTAGTAATAGCAATTACAATAGAATCTACATTGTTTTTTTTTGTCTTTTAGAAAATTTAGATTTATTAATTACCAATTCTTCATTTTTATCAGTATTTCTATTTATTATAAAAGAAAAAACTATATTTTTATGAATACTAAATATATTGTCTATTCTTT